ATCAGGGGTCGGAGTATATCAGTGGGCTGGTGTATACCAAAGGTCAGAGTATATCAGGGGGCTGGTGTATATCAGGGGTCGGAGTATATCAGGGGGCTGGTGTATATCAAGGGGATGGTGTATATGAGGGGTCGGAGTATATCAGGGGGCTGGTGTATATCAAGGGGCTGGTGTATATCAGAGGTCGGAGTATATCAGGGGGCTGGTGTATATCAAGGGGCTGGTGTATATCAGGGGTCGGAGTATATCAGGGGGCTGGTGTATATCAAAGGTCGGAGGATATCAGGGGGCTGGTGTATATCAAGGGGCTGGTGTATATCAGAGGTCGGAGTATATCAAGGGGCTGGTGTATATCAGAGGTCGGAGTATATCAGGGGGCTGGTGTATATCAAAGGTCGGAGTATATCAAGGGGCTGGTGTATATAAGGGGCTGGTGTATATCAGGGGTCGGAGTATATCAGGGGGGCTGGTGTATATCAAGGGGCTGGTGTATATCAGGGGTCGGAGTATATCAGGGGGCTGGTGTATATCAAAGGTCGGAGTATATCAGGGGGCTGGTGTATATAAGGGGCTGGTGTATATCAAAGGTCGGAGTATATCAGGGGGCTGGTGTATATCAAGGGGCTGGTGTATATCAGGGGTCGGAGTATATAAGGGGGCTGGTGTATATCAAATGTCGGAGGATATCAGGGGCTGGTGTTTATCAAGGGGCTGGTGTATATCAGGGGTCGGAGTATATCAGGGGGCTGGTGTATATCAGAGGTCGGAGTATAGCAGGGGCTGACGATATCAAGGGGCTGGTGTATATCAGGGGTCGGAATATATATAAGGGGGCTGGTGTATATCAGAGGTCGGATTATATCAGGGGGCTGGTGTATATCAAAGGTCGGAGTATATCAGGGGGCTGGTGTATATGAAAGGTCGGAGTATATCAAGCGGCTGGTGTATATCAGGGGTTGGAGTATAGCAGGGGGCTGGTGTATATCAGGGGTCGGAGTATATCGGGGGTCGGAATATATCAGGGGGCTGGTGTATATGAAAGGTCGGAGTATATCAGGGGGCTGGTGTATATCAAGGGGCTGGTGTATATGAGGGGGTTGGTGTATATGAGGGGTCGGAGTATATCAGGGGGCTGGTGTATATCAGGGGGCTGGTGTATATGAGGGGTCGGAGTTTATCAGGGGGCTGGTGTTTATCAAGGGGCTGGTGTATATCAGGGGTCGGATTATATCAGGGGGCTGGTGTATATCAGAGGTCGGAGTATAGCAGGGGCTGACGATATCAAGGGGCTGGTGTATATCAGGGGTCGGAATATATATAAGGGGGCTGGTGTATATCAAGGGGCTGGTGTATATGAGGGGTCGGAGTATATCAGGGGGCTGGTGTATATCAGGGGGCTGGTGTATATCAGGGGTCGGAGTATATCAGGGGGCTGGTGTATATCAGGGGTCGGAGTATATCGGGGGTCGGAATATATGAGGGGGCTGGTGTATATGAAAGGTCGGAGTATATCAGGGGGCTGGTGTATATCAAGGGGCTGGTGTATATGAGGGGTCGGAGTATATCAGGGGGCTGGTGTATATCAGGGGGCTGGTGTATATCAGGGGGCTGGTGTATATCAGGGGTCGGAGTACATCAGGGGGCTGGTGTATATCAAAGGTCGGAGTATATCAAGGGGCTGGTGTATATCAGGGGTCGGAGTACATCAGGGGGCTGGTGTATATCAGAGGTCGTAGTATAATAAGGAACTGATGTATATCAGAGGGGTCGATGTATATCAAAGGTCGAAGTATATCATTGATCATGTATATCAGGGGTTTGGTGTACATCAAGGGATTGGTGTATAAACAGGGGGTTGCTGTATCAGGGGGTCGATTTATATCAGAGGTCGGAGTATATCAGGGTTGTGTATATCGGGGATCGATGTATATCAGGGGTTTGGTGTATATCAGAGATCTAAGTATATGAAGTAAATACAGGGGTCAGTATATAGAGGAGTGAGTGTATGGATGGGTGACTGTATAGAGGGATCAGTGTATGGAGGGTTCAGTGTATGAAGGGGTGAGTGTATAGAGGAGTGAGTGTATGGAGGGGTGACTGTATAGAGGGATCAGTGTATGGAGGGTTCAGTGTATGAAGGGGTGAGTGTATAGAGGAGTGAGTGTATGGATGGGTGACTGTATAGAGGGATCAGTGAATGGAGGGTTCAGTGTATGAAGGGGTGAGTGTATAGAGGAGTGAGTGTATGGAGGGGTGACTGTATAGAGGGATCAGTGAATGGAGGGTTCAGTGTATGAAGGGGTGAGTGTATAGAGGAGTGAGTGTATGGAGGGGTGACTGTATAGAGGGATCAGTGTATGGAGGGGTGAGTGTATGGAGGGGTGAGTGTATGGAGGGATTAGTGTATGGAGGGGTGAGTGTATGGAGGGATTAGTGTATGGAGGGGTGAGTGTATGGAGTGGTCAGTGTATGTATTTATGAATCACTATCAATGACTGTT